GAAGCACAAGAAATCTGTTCAAAGGAAACTACATCTACACAAATTTGTGTCTTTGATGCAATGCCAGAGACTGAACGTGCCAGTGTTGTGAAGGATGTAAATCTGAACTACAATGAGGCTCCACTGCAAAGTGTACTGGGAGTAAAGTGGAACGTGGAGACTGATGCATTTTCATTCAATGTCAGCCTGAGTGAAAAAGCAGCCACACGGCGAGGAATCCTATCTACAGTTGCAAGCGTGTACGACCCACTGGGATTTTTCTCTCCCTACATTTTGAGTGGGAAACAAGTACTTCAAGAAATGTGCAAACAGGGTATTGGATGGGATGAACTTCTTCCCCCTGAGCTGAAGCCAAAGTGGGAAGCATGGCTCCATGACTTGAAGAATCTTCAAAACATTCAAATACCAAGATGCTTCATACCTGAAAACCTTGGCACAAAAATTGAGCTGCATCATTTCTCGGATGCCAGCAATAATGGCTATGGGCAATGCTCATATATTAGGATCGTTGCTGAGGAAAGGGTGCATTGTGCACTGGTCATGGCAAAGGCCAAGCAGCACAAGGAGGAGCCTTTGAAGAAAAGCTGAGATTATTCAGTCAAAGGTCTGCTAAACTGCCAAAGACTCACAGGATGTTCCAACTTGATCCCATCCTTGTAGATGGACTGCTCAGGGTTGGAGGGCGGTTGAGAAGGTCTTGCACATCATTTAAGTTGAGACATCCAGTAATCCTTCCTAAGGAAGGCATTGTCACACAACTAATACTTGACTACTGTCACAAGAAAACTCCACCAAGGACGAGGACAGACACTCAGGATATTGGATAATAGGTGCTAGCAAGGTAGTAGCCAAACATATCAAATGTTGTGTCACTTGCAGGAAGGTGCGAGGACCGTTCGAAGAAGTTGACCGAGTAGATCCTTCACCCCCATTCTCTTACACTGGAGTTGACTGTTTCGGCCCCTTCTACACAAAAACAAGGTCGAAAGGAATTCAAGAGATATGGTCTATTGTTCACATGCTTAAGCTCCAGAGCCATCCACATAGAAATGGTGGAAGACCTTACTACTGATGCCTTTCTAAATGCTTTAAGAAGTTTCATAGCAATTAGAGGAGCAGTAAGACAGATCCGATGTGACCAGAGTACAAATTTTGTCGGTGCTACAAATGAGCTGGAGAAATGTCTGATGGAACTAGACCAAGAGAAGATCTCTACCTATTTGGCAAGGAAACAATGCGACTTCCTCATGAATGTTCCCGTGCCAAGCCACATGGGAGGCGTTTGGGAGCACCAAATAAGGACAGTCAGGAGTGTCATGAGCTCTGTTCTAGCTCAAGTTAGAGGCCGATTGGATGACACTTCACTGAGAACATTCTTCTATGAGGCCATGTCAATTGTGAACAATCGTACACTCACTACAGATGACCTCACTGACCCCAAGAGTGTTGAACCTTTAACACCTAACCACTTACTCACTATGAAGTTCTCTGTGCCACTTCCACCTCCTGGAGAGTTTGTCAGAGAAGATTTGTACGCCAGAAAAAGGTGGCGAAGAGTGCAATACCGGACAATTCTGGAGCCGATGTCGCAAGGAATACTTGGCCAACAGTGGCATGCACCCAGAAGAAATGTGCAAGTGGGGGATGTGGTCATTGTAAAGGACAATATTGCCAGAAATGAATGGAGATTGGCCAGAGTAGTGGACACAAGTGAAGATGATGATGGTCTTGTGCGAAAGGTTAAGGTTCAAATAGGGCAAAGACATTTAGGAAAGAAAGGTGAATGCTTGACGCAACCATCCTTTCTAGAGAATCCTGTTCAAAAATTAGTAGTACTAGTTGAGAATGGTTCCAAAACTACTATTGAAAGAGTACCAAGTCTGAGGTCTTAAATAAATAAACCAAGGTGTTGTTTATTAGTGTTGTCATTAAGTTAAATACAATTAAAGTGTGAATAATATGTGGCTATGTAGCTAAAAAGGGAAGAAAAGAGAGTTCCAGAAGACTGTGTTGTGACACTGGAAGATTGGGAGCAGTTATACCCCCCCGCCACCACCAGCACTGTATTTACATATTCAGTGGGAAACCTGTTCTCCTGCAGTTTATTGTTAGTTAGATATTATTTGTACAGAAAAGCTCCATTAAAATAATCAACAATCCGTGCATCTATAATTATTAATTTAACATTGGCAATTTAGTTCATTTACCAGAAACATTATCTGTTGTGGTATCCTCCATATCTGATCCATGATTTGTAATAGATACATCTCCAACTGCTGTGTGGGAAAAGAAGAATGTGATTTAGTTAAGTTTATTTCCGGAAGGATTACAAGTAGCTATCAGTGTACAGGTTGCACAAAAACTATTCAAAATAAAGGCAGTAGGAAACTTTCACTGACTAGCACTTTCATTATCTCTTCCCCACCAAATACTACATTATTGCTCCTGAGAAATTACAGTTATTGTGAATAGAAAGTGTAAAATAGTGTAAATCCAGGGGTAAGTTCCCCAACAGGTCGCCAGTCCATCGCAGGGCCACACATAGACAAACAACCACTCACACCTAAAATTGTCCTTAGGTGTGAGTGGTTGTTTAACCTAGCCTGCATGTCTTTGGATGGTGGGAGGAAGCTGGAGCACCCGGAGAGAACCCACGCAGACACGGGGAGAACATGCAAACTCCACACAGAAAGGCCAGGGCAACCAGGGTTTGAACCCACAACCTTCTTGCTGTGAGGTAACAGTGCTAACCACTGCACCACCACAATAGTTTTATAATTGATATAGTGTTCGCATAGGCTACTTTAATGCTCAATCTCTAATGTCTGTAGATGAACAAAGTGGCAAAGACTATACCTGGTTTGGTACATGTTATAACAACAAATAGTTAGTCCACAAAATTAGTGGTCTGGTGGTTTGCGAGAACAGGGTGGTCTGGGTTGGAGTCAAATTCCTGGCCTGAATAATTGTGCCAGTCCGTTTCTAGTCTGAACAACTAGTTCTTGTGGCACTAACCACGGTTCTGATATACTGCTTTGAGAAACTGGTTCTCCAGCACGTAAAGAACTTTCATGAGGAACTTTCAGGAGCAATATAAAGCATTGTGATTGGAAACATCACCAACTGGCATGGGAGGTGCTCAGCCCAGGACAGGTTAGCACTGCAGTTGAATTACAACTTTATCTCATTATACGACCCTGTGTTGTAAAATGCAAGTACATCTACCTTGTACCCTGTACCTTGTACCTTGAGTAGGAAGTACAATAGTGGAGTGTAGTGGAGTAGAAGAATAAAGTTGTATAAAATGGAAATTAGTACTTCACTAAAACTAATTTGCAAAAGTACATAGCCTACATTCCACCGCTGGAAAAGACTAACATCCAATATTGAACTAACCCAATTAACATCCATTTCCTGTGCAGCCAAAGTCTGATGTGGATTATTCTTCCATTGTTTGTCAAGTACCTAACATAACTAAGGCTTTGTTCAGAATGCAGGCAAATCAGATTTATTTCTCAAATCAGATCTTTAGGTCAGACTGTTTGTTGAAAGTGATCAGGTCGGATTTGTGTGTCATCACCAGCACTGTATTTAAGAAGTGGATATTGCCACCGTGACATCACCCATTGGTTAAAACATTATCTGTTGTGGTATCCTCCATATCTGATCCATGATTTGTAATAGATACATCTCCAACTGCTGTGTGGGAAAAGAAGAATGTGATTTAGTTAAGTTTATTACTTTATTTGAAATGGACAGTGCAAATTAACATTTCCGGAAGGATTACAAGTAGCTATCAGTGTACAGGTTGCACAAAAACTATTCAAAATAAAGGCAGTAGGGAACTTTCACTGACTAGCACTTTCATTATCTCTTCCCCACCAAATACTACATTATTGCTCCTGAGAAATTACAGTTATTGTGAATAGAAAGTACAATAGTGGAGTAGAAGAATAAAGTTGTATAAAATGGAAATTAGTACTTCACTAAAACTACTTTGTAAAAGTACTTAGCCTACATTCCACCAGCCAAAGTCTGATGTGGATTATTCTTCCATTGTTTGTCAAGTACCTAACATAACTAAGGCTTTGTTCAGAATGCAGGCAAATCAGATTTATTTCTCAAATCAGATCTTTAGGTCAGACTGTCTACACTGTTTGTTGAAAGTGATCAGGTCGGATTTGTGTGTCATCACCAGACTGTATTTAAGAAGTGGATATTGCCACCATGACATCACCCATTGGTTTGTGGACTACCATTGTGGAAGCCTCAAGTTTGGGATTTTGGCTCCATCTTGGTTTATTGGAACCAGATGTGACCGCAAATGACCATATTTGGACAAGAAGGTGGCACTAGCTAGCTTGGTTAGCAGGAACTTGAGAAAGAAGTTTGGTTTCTACTTCAGCCTACCTATTATTAGCTGCTGCATCAAGTTGCTCTTATTCTAAATCACACAGTGATTAAAAGACTTGCATTATAAATCCCTGAGTGTGG